CTAATTTGATTTTGTGAGCCTCTGCAACACCTTCACGTCACATAATTTTCAAGTATGATCAAAAAATGTCTCACTGAGAACACTTGAGCGATTATGGAAATACTTCATTAAAAAATATCTGGAGAAGAAAACTTGCTTTGTTATCTCAGAACCTGCAGCCCAATTGAAAGAAGTGTTAGTTTACATTATCAAGACTGAAATTGCAGCATAGAGCTAAAAGACTCTAAAAACCAATGCTAGATCATTAACTTCCTGCAAAGTGTCTGCGAATAATTTACAGGAAGTTGTTGAAAAGCACTCCTCATTTTTGCAACCCAAGTTATTCTCATACAGGCAAGCTAGCATGACTTCTGACTGAAAGGAGAACAATTCAGCACTTTTGAAAATTATGTTATCCAAAAAAGAAAGCTTAAACACACAGTTTCAGATTCATACAGCTGTAAAATCACTTTCTGACTTCACACATTTTTTTCTCAGTTATAAAAATATGTGTTAAAAAAACATCACTTACAGAGGATTGTGACATCTCCCAGTCTGTGGTGGAGTCTTTCAGTCCACTTTCATCCTTCAAGTACTTTTCAAAAAGTCTTTTGTTGATTGGCTCTTCCATATCAAGAATATCCAGGGCCTGTTGATGTTCTTTTGCAGCATACTAGCCAAACATGTGCATGTAAAAAACAAGGTTGGGATTTGAAACATCTGTACATAAAGCACCAATAAACACAGTGCCACATTTCAAAGGTACAGACTGTAACAACCAGTGCTTATCAGCAGGTTTTTCATGCATGCATATTCTTATTTGGACGTACGTCATTTTACAATTGCAGCCAACTAGTCATCTATAATATGCAAAAAATTATAAAATTAACACCTACAGAAAAATATATTATTCAGCATTATGCAATCACAGAAGCAGATACGCTTCTAAAAATAGTTAATACACATTTTAATAAAATACAATGATCTTATTCCATAAGCAGCACATTATTCTATTTCAAATTTCTATATTTAAGTTACCAATTGATTCACTTTTCCAGTGAAAGCACCGCATTTTACTACTTATGTATCACATTTTACACAGAAGTATAAAGCTGCTAACTATATTTATACAACCATAAATCACATCTCCTCTGGTCAGACTACAACCAACCAATTAAAAATGTAAACATGAAGACATGAGACAAAAACGGTTCACATTCTTTCCCCACAAAATATTAGAGGAGTATTTTCTTTCCCGGAAAAAAAGGTTGGTTGGATTTCTTCAGAATAGCACCACAATGGATACTCCAGTGACCATACTGAAGGTTAAAGAATGAAAACAACTCTCACAAAATTTAAACCTGTTATTCCAATGAACATAGACATCAACATTGCCTGTCAGGTACCTAATCTTCCCCAGATGCATCTTTTACTTAGTTCGGTTTGTTTCCAATAGAGGTTAAAATGTGTACTCACATGACATCTAGCTGCAAGGTAGCGACATGCTTCATATAACTGAAAGAGAAATTTCATACATATTAGTTATAAAGAGAGAGCATGTGTACTTACACTGCTAGACTCCATTTCGCTCTCTCCTTTTTCAGTTGTATGGCGGCTTCATCCCCTTCACCTCCAAAAATCTTTCCTGACCAAAATGACTAAGTCTGTAACACTTTCTCTACTATTAAACTCTCAAAGGACACTTACTTCACTCTTGCCTTCATCACTCACTAGCAGAGTGGAAGGACAACTTAAACAACTACAGCTGAAGTGACACTCCATCTTCCCACACCTGCTGCAGTTACATCCTTGGACCCCTTTCTCTTTCTGTGACCCTATCTGGGGACAACAGTTTGAATCTGGCCAATTGAACACAGGGCTATACTTGGTTCAGATAAACTACATCATGCAGGTTTTTTAATTACTTTTCCCCTAAACCTTATCCTCTGATGGTGAAGAAGTCACTGTGCTTAGCAGCAGAGGTTTAAAAGTGGAATAACAGTAGTTAAGTGACTTACCTTATCCAACTTACGCGATCGAAGGGCATGTGCTGCCCTATGATACTGAGCTGTTAGGTAAAGACATTGGGCCAACCAGTAGATATCTTGTGGTTCCTCTAAAATAAAAGAACAAATTATAAACCATTAATTTATAATGTATCTTTAAACACTTTCATACAGAATATTCACTTTTGCTTCACTAGAAAAGTATTTTTCCCCTATTCCAGCATCCTACTGAGTTACAAAGTTTT